AGGGGATGTGAGGTCATATGAAGGTCATGACCCTTAAACACAAAATGAGGAGATGTGAGGTCATATGAAGGTCATGAACTTTAAACACAATATGAGGGGATGTGAGGTCATGTGAAGGTCATTTATCCTTTATATGAGCTGCCAATGACCTCATGACCTTCAGATGACCTCCGTATGGCCTCACATGATTTAAAATGACCTCATATGACCTCTCCATGACCCCATTTGACCTTTATATGATATCACCTTCAAATGAGATTAAAATGACCTCACATGACCTTCATGACCCCTTGACATGACCTTCAAATATCCTTACATGAACTTTTCATTCAATTCTTATAAGGATATGAGCATTTTATGGGATGAAACATGCCATCTTATGACAGCCAATGAATTTTTTAGTTCGGTTTGAAACTTACTAAGAATTTTTTAACATTGATACGCCTCTTTGGCGTGAGAATGATCATTTTCAACACTGATGACCTCAGTTTTGAGCTGTTTCAACACTCGAGGTGATGAATGATTGGGCAGAGAGGGCAGTGATACTTATATTACTATTCCCGAAAAACTTTCTGAACCTATTTCGTTATTCAGCCAACTGAAGCGAGAGCAATTTCGTTCCGAAAGCTTTTCCTATAATGCCCACCATGAAAATGGCCATTACCCGTAGAGTTGAGTATCTGAAACAAAGCCTTTGAGTGATATACCTGGAGTAGAATAAATCCCGAGAGCAATACTTCATCGAAGCGAAAGGAAGCTGCAGCCTCCAATTATGAAAATTGAAGCGCTCTCTGGTATTTTGATGAACTGAGGAATGTCTTGCTTAAAGAACACTATGCTGGGCTGTCCCCGTCGGGAAAAAGGGCCGCTCCCCTTGAATTGTCTTCGTCTCCCTGTTTACGGTACTACACGTAATGAAGTGGATGCCAAGAAGCTGGGTAATTCTGAAAATTAGGAAGATGACAGGAACGTCGTGTCGTGGAGAATCTTGAAATATCTGAAATTGACAAAGGTGTGGAGACTCTATCCGGCAAGCTATCCGGAATGTAACCTTTTCAGAATATTCAGTGCTTACTCGCATAAACGAAACTACTCCAGAACTACTTTAACCTCCATTCCTTCTGGACACTTTTGGAATACATAGCAGGGGAGTAGAAATAGCCAGGCCCTGGGCAAGGTAACTCGGGTTTCGCTTATTAAACGAGAATTTATGCTACCGTAGTACTTCTAGAATACACAAGCTCCTGTTTGCTCTTTTCCCTTTTACGGAGACTCGTTTTCTTACTCGAGCGATTTGGCGAATGTACGAAATCGATTAACAGCAGTCACAGATTATTCTGTCGGGTTATTTCCATCGAGGAACCCACCAATTTTAGGATGTCCCCTTTAGTTTATCCTCTCGGTCGGAATGTGGGATGAGGGGGTGGGAGTATCGATTGCAGGTTGTGTCGTTAAACTCATTGAATTTGACCCTTGGGGCCACAAATTTACTTTCCAATCTCTTTTCTACTGTCTTGTAACATCAAATGAACAAACAAAGCGTAAACGTGTCGGGCGGGAAATTCGGCGGTTGTAAAGGTTGACCCACGTGACCCTCAGGATCACAAATTTCCTTTTTAATTTTTAATTTTTCAATTTTTTTTTTAAAGCCCAAATCCTTTCCAAAAAAGCATATGCAATATCTCGAGGGAATGGAGAAAGTAAGGCCGCCTAACAAACAAAAGAGAATTGAATACCATTCTATGAGGCATGAATAAACGAATCATAGTTGTCAAAATAATTTAGATCAGAGTAAAATAGAATAATTCAGTAGCGAAGCGGTAAACCGGGTTAAGTCGATTTTTACTTTTGGCCATTTTTTGATGAATATCTCGGAATCTAAGAGAGATAGCAAAATTTTGCTCATGAGCTTTTTTATAACCCTCAGTTTGCTCTACAAAAAAGGTTGTGACAAAATTTTTTATATCTCTTTTAGATTCCGAGATATTCGTCAAAAACTGGCCAACAGTTAAAATCGACTTGACCCGGTTTACCGCTTCGCTCCTGAATTCTACTTTCTTAATATTGCGTTTACTAGGGTTTTCTTCGAACAAAGTTGATTAGAATTAATAGCTAGAATTATGAGATTATCTAACATTTTTGACGTTAAGGATAGGAGAATCTGAATGCAATATAGTGAAAATGATGATCGATTCTTTCACTTTGAACAAATAATATTAATATCCAAATACAAAATTTCTGATATGAATAAAAAAAAGCTGTGACTCAATATTCCAAATGAAATTTTTTAACTTCCCGGGCAGGGAAGTTATTTTAATTTTTAATTTGGTGCTGAAAACACGAGATGACAATATTCTAAGCGCGGAATTATATTGATGAGATGAACAACAGATTAATTGAATTACCGTATGAACTAACTAAAAATTGATAACAGTATGGGCACGCACTTTTATCAGAGTATCAACAAACATTGAATTCCAGAAATTCACACTTTAAAGTGTGTTCTAGAAGGAATTGAATTGCAATTATGATTAAAATCTCATTCAATGAGCATAGGAATTAGAACATGAGCAAATGTTTTACTGTAATATGAAAATTTAACAGCTGATTAATTGGGACAGATGATTCTCATCAGTTGTATTGCTTTTTGCAATGAGAATGATTATAAACAATTAATTGATAAGAAGAATAACGTAATCATTACTATAAGAGAAACTCATTAAATTTATAAAATGTGCAAAATCCATCGATAGACGTTTAACAGACGTACATTATATCATTATTTCGCTGTATTGTCACCCAAGAGCGAACCAATTTCCAGACGTCCCCTTTACTCTACCCTCTCAGTCGGAATGTGAGATGAGGGGGTGGGAGTATCGATTGCAGCTGGTGTCATTATTTCTTCGCCGCGCTTTGGATAAAAAGCAAGTTGTTCGCGATTGCCTTGTGTCGGGGCAATTAGAACGACGAATGAGGTGGAAAACGAAATTCTTTAAGATTACAGAAAAGTCTCCGATAAAAGCGAGCAGAAGCCGTAAGAGAGTGAGGTTATTAATTCGACATATTGGAAGAGAATTATTGACTAAATTTCAGGCATACTGTAAGAAAATGTTTAAATTATATGAAATGAATAATAATTTTCAATTCATGAAAATTATTGAATCCGTAATTCATCGATTTTACGCAAATCTTCTATTAGAATAAAATGAACAATTTATTTGATCTAAGGTAAATGATCCTACGCCCGTGTAGCTAAGGCGAACACATCATTAGTCCAATATTTCTATTGAAATGAGTGTAAAGACGCGATGTTTTAAATTAGATATCAGAAAGTGAAAACTTGAGAATTAGAATTCCCTTATATTAATCATGATAATTATTATTTTTTAATAAATAATCGTCCATAAAAGTGGAAAGTCCCATGTCGGGCTATTCCGAACTCTCAAAAGTATGTGGAAAAAGTGAAAACTGAATAAATATTGTCTCAATTTCAGACAGTAGATTTCCTAGATATCTATCGGAATTTCCCCCTCCCTCAAGATTTACTGCCAATTATTGAATAGAAATGAAGGAGAGCAGCGACTGGAAAATTGCGCCCCCAGCGGATGATAGAATGAAGGGATTAATGGGAATTTTCACAGCGAAAAAAAACATTAACAGAAAACATCGTGTTATATTGTTGAACAATAATTTCGTGTCTCGGTACAGTACACCCAGCCGCCCCAATCGAGCTAACGAAGTGGCGTATCGGTGGGACGTAACGTCAAGTTGGAATAATTATTGCAATGTACCACTGTAATTCCTCCCTATTGCAGTGAGCTCTCCTCCCCCCTGCCCTGGAGAATATATACACCCGATGGCATTAATTTAATGCTGCATTCCGGTTACAACTACGCCCCGCCCACCCATTCTCAATTATCAAGCGCTGTATAAACGACAATTCACGTATTTTATTAACACATTTATTATCCGATTTAACAGTTTAATAATTAACATACTCGATTATTGAATATTGGATGAATAATTGAAAGGAGTAGTTTCATAATTTGATATTTGTAATGTAGATTGCCATTGACATTACGCCCTGCGGCTAATTTTTAACTTCCTCCTTCCTGTTTCCAATGCCAACTTCGTGAATAATTGAGGCACCGCGCTATGGACGAATGCAAATAAGGAAAGTTATGGGGATTCTCGAGTGAACAGATGGAGGATGTCGTTGATTAGTTCGACGAATAGATGTTAATTAGATTGGATTAGAGTTATCTACGACTTTACGAACTTAAATTATCGACGGGAAGTGGCCACTCCATGATTGAGGGAGACCGTGACTTCGAAATCCCGGGGTCTAGAATTCTCGGCGATCCCTCCGCGACTAATGTTGGCTGAACGTCAAATGGCCATTCATCGAATCGCGAGGCTCGACCAACAATTGGACAAAGGAAAGACAAGAGTAATTTTACATTCAGTGAATTTGTCAAGCCACTAATATCTCACGACTATCCACCCTGAAAACGGAATTTCCACTTGTCCTCAATCCTGAGAATTGGATCTTGGTGTACGTGAGGCAGTTCAAAATTCTCACGATCATTGAATGTGAAAATTATGTTTCCACCGCGTCCAGAATGGAATTGAATCGAGCAATACAGAAATGTGATATCGGATTTCCAATTGCAATTTCAGATACATTCCAACGTGTGAACACCTGATTCAGTAAAACAATTCATATTTATTCGCAAAAAATAAATTAAACAAAATCCAAACATTATGCATTTAATTTTCTCCTGCCTCTGTTGTATTTTCCGGCAAAAACCTGTCAAATATCGTCCAAAAATTGCTCATTGTCAGCACCCGAAACTATTAAACTTATACCATCATGAACAAAACTCACAGCACAACGCGGACAAAAGTGCAGCCATCTCATAACCCCGATAATACCCCAAACTTTGTATTCCACTTTTCCAACGAGGGTCACTCAATTTGCATAAATTGTTACTTTTCAGATAATCGGAAAATGGTACGTGATAGAAATTCTGGACCACAGGCCGTCGCCAACGCAATCATCCCTGACATTAATACGACCAATGGTGCTGGAAACGTGTCCAATTGTCAGAATTCGACGAGAGCATCGACGGGACTCGATGGGAGAAGTTTTGAAAGTACTCTGGACCGAGGAGAAGGGGACCATTGAGTACACATTTATCGTCACCGATCTGAGAAATTCTCCTGGCTTCTGGACATCGATTAGCTTGCAAAATGGTAATTTTCAACTTCACCATTGTATTATGCATTATAAAGTAAATGTGCCTATGCTTGGTCCCGTCGTCTACGTCCCGACCACTAATTTTGGTATAAAAAGATGATTGGCCGTCAGAAATTGCTTTTCTGGGCTCCTATCACTGATCTATTTTATGAAATTTTGCTGGGGGGCTACCCCCCCTGCTCACTCCGATCGGCAACCCTCATAAGATCTCCAGATAGCTCCATATGACTCCCATGACCCTTATGCGGAACCTTATTCTGAACCTTGTGAACCTTAATCTGACCCTCGTGACCCTCATTTTCTGATCCTTCATTCCTGACCCTTCATTTTAGAGTCTTAATTTCGGGTACCAAATTTTCATCACCAGAAGTCGATTTGGATTTTTATAATATAGAGAGAGGGTCGCAAGGGTCAAAAGGGTCAAAATTCCTTATTTGAAATTGTTATGAAATTTTACTTGATGTTAGAGGTAAGGGGCAGAGGGGACGGGGTAGACCTTTCTGACCTAGCTGACCCTGCTCGTAAGGGCTATAAGGGTCTCACGGTCTACATAGGTTGTAAGGGTCAAGAGGTTCAAAAAGCCCTTATTTGACATTTTTATTAAATTTTATTTGATATTAAAAGAAGGGGTAACGAGAGTAGACCTTTGTGACTCTGCTGATCCTTTAGGCTCGTAAGGGCTATAAGGGTCCAGGGTCCACCTAGGTTATAAAGGTCAAGAGGTTCAAAATGTCCTTATTTGACATTGTTATTAAATTCTATTTGATCTTAAAAGAAGGGGTAACGGGAGTAGACCTTTGTGACTCTGCTGACCCTTTAGGCTCGTAAGGGCTATAAGGGTCCAGGGTCCACATAGGTTATAAGGGTCAAGAGGTTCAAAATGTCCTTATTTGACATTGTTATTAAATTTTATTTGATATTAAAAGAAGGGGTAACGGGAGTAGACCTTTGTGACTCTGCTGACCCTTTAGGCTCGTAAGGGCTATAAGGGTCCAGGGTCCACATAGGTTATAGGGGTCAAGAGGGTCAAAAAGCCCTTATTTGACATTGTTATGAGTGTTGTCTATTTTTTACTTTGACCCTCATGACCCTTACCCTGAACCTTAAGGGTTTTCACCCTTACCCTGAACTTTACGACCCTTAATCTGACCCTCGCGACACTTACTCAGGCCCTTGTGACCCTTAGTTTCTGACTCTTTATCTTGGAATCTTCATTTCAAGTACCAAATGTTCATCACTAGAAGTCGATTGGGATTTTCATAATATATAGAGATGTGCAGGTTACATGAAAATCATCCGAAATCCACATGAAGTTCATATGAAAATCCCAGGAAGTTTCATATAACGTTCACCTGAAATTCCGATGAAGTTCATATGAAGGTTATCCGAAGGTCATCGGAAGTTCATATGATGATCGCATGCAGATCACATGAAGTAAACGCGAAAGTCACGTCAATATAAATCGCATATCATATAAAACTCACATAAAGATCACATGAAATCATATGAAAAGTTGGCGAGCGATAACAGCAATGGACGAAGCCCCCTACTCGCATACAATATAAAATGGCCAATCGGCTGCAGGCGATATAAGAGTGATAACTCTATTATTTACCCCTCCCATTTTCCTTTGCATGTCAGATATCCCAGGCAATTTTTCATACCGTATAAATATTAAATTACCCGGGATTGTTTGTCCAGCGACGCGCGTGATCGTGACAGATTGAATGAATAGCAACATGAACGTAGGTTGGAGCGATCGGTGGCAGGCTGTTGGAAAACTATGTGTGAATGGAATGAGAACGGGGCGGGAGGGAGGAGAAAAGTTTTCCAACTCCGTTGGAGCGAATTGAATTGAACGATCGTGGGAAATACACGTCAGGTGGTATCAACTCCCTTGAGTTTTACCTCACCAAAGAGTGGTGAACAACCACTCGTCGTCGGCGTAACAAAACAAACAATCTGTAATTGTTTTTGAAACATTGGAGTCAACGAGCGATTGAAAATACATTCAATATTTGAGTTGAGTTGATGATTATGAGTGGAAGAGGCTATTTATTCGGTAGCAATCGATAGAATTTATTGTTTAACTAGGGGGCTACGCCCCCTGCTCCCTCCGCTCGCCAATGATCCCCATAATCCTTATTCTAGCCCTTGTAACCCTTAATTTGACCCTCGCGACCCTTATTATTCCCCTCGTAATTCTTAATACGAGCCTTATAACCCTTATATGACCCTCATGACCCTTATAACCCTGATTCTGACCCTCGTAACGCTTATTTTGAGCTTCGTGACCTTTATTCCGACCCTTGTGTCCCTTGGTGTAAATCTTATTACCATCATTTTGACCCTCGTGAGCCTTATTCTGGCCCTTATGACCTTGATTCTGGCCCTCGTAGCCCTCATTTTGACCTTCCTCACTTTTATTCTGACCTTTATGCCCTTGTTCTGAACCTCACAACCATTATTTTGACCCTCGTGACCCTTATTCTGGCCCTTATGACCCTCATTCTGACCCTCGTAGCCCTCATTTTGACTGTCACCTTTATTCTGACCCTTATGACCCTTATTCTAACCCTCATGACCCTTATTCTGAACATTGTGACCCTTAATTATGGAGTCTTCATTTCGAGTATCAAATTTTCATCACCAGAAGTCGATTTGAATTTTTTTTTTCCGATAACTGTTTTGTTTCCAGTTTACATGCAGACAAATGAGGAATTCGAATCGAAAAAAATTCTTAAAATGAAATTTCACTGTTGAAATCAAATGAACGATTCATTCAATTCAAATAACGTTTGTTTAGTTTGAACAATCCATTTTCCTGGGGTCTTTATGCACGAAAAAATTTGGTATAAAAATTTACAGAATATTTTCATGCACATACGACTCGATATGTTTGAATAATCTATTTTTATGGGGATTTTATGCATAAAAAAAATTGAGATAACGTTTTACAGAATATTTTCATGCAAATACAACTTGATATATTCATCATGACCAAGTAAATCACAATTCTGATGGCCTCGTAATATTAAAATCATATTATGAATCGATTGAATGGATTCGGTTACGCGGAACATGCCATCGACAATGATGAGCAGATCTAACGATTCAATAATTCAATGATCGAGGGAATTTCACCGCTGATTGAACAATTAAGTCAACAGTCCGGATTGTCAGTGTCAATTTATGGGCTCCTACAAATCCACAACTCAATTAATATTCCATACTTCAGCGTGAAGCGAACTGTGAAAGTGAAATGACAAAAAAAAATTCTCAGCAATGGAGATAACAAAAAGAGAAGAGCAGTTTACAGCTTGTTTAAAGGGTGAAAAAGTTGGCCTTATTGAAAAGTTTGTCTGTACTTTTCCATGCCGAAATGGAAGTTAAAAAAGCCATCAGAGGTTATAACTACGGCGACTGATGGGAGAGGAGATAAAAAAAAGTGTATCATAGTGAAGCATGTACTGGAGACGCACTGACGTTTATAAACCACATAGGATATATACTCCATCGATTCTGGGAAAATTCATGACTCTCGTGCGTGGTAAAGTTTAGAACTCCGTTGGGCACATAAATTGGATTAACGATCCGATGCGACACTGGTACGTGTGTGCGGCAAAGACATACCTTTGCGTTTCGTAACAGTACGATTACTGTTCAATATGGAAGATCTTGGGTATAAAGTTTTGGTATTTTGTCGAGATAAGGATTTAGTACTATCGATAACAGCCGTTAATTATTGAAACATTATTGCGTTACTCGCTTCGTCCGCCTTCCAGTCGTGTAATCTCTCAGAATCGGCTGTTTTTTACATGACAAATCAAATTTTTTGAGATTTTTTCCTACTTTCAATTTTGCTTTGGCTTTCGAATGGAAGCCCAAAAAGTCCGAAAATCCAATTTTTTAGACTTCGCCCAATTGTTCTTGAATGAATGAATGGAATTATATATTTTTTCAAATATAAGTATTGTTGAGCCCTATCGATCGCCATTAATTAAAATTTGATTCATCGATTAGTTTTTAAAATTTTCAAATCTTTTCGAAAATCGGTTGTCCCACGATAACTAAAAAAAATGTTCTGAATTGATTGAATGATGGCTTAAAAAATTTGTTTGGATGTCCTTTTGACCGAGTTCGAAGATGAAGGCGATAGCAGTAATCGTTATTTTGATTTATTTCAAAATTTGCGAAAATTTTGTATTTTTTGAAAATCAGAATTCCGGGGATATCTTTAAATTTCATGCTTCAAATGAGTTCAATCATAGCTTAAAATATTTGTTTTAATGCCATTAAGTCAAAGTTTAAAGATGATTACGATAGCTATATTGGTTGATTTGAATTTTATGATGATTGTTGAAAATTTCGAATTTGCCATGAATTTCCCTGAAAGTGAGCTTTCTGATGGTTTCTTCAAATGTGATGCTTAAAATTCATTCAAGTATGTATAAAGAAAATTTTTCTACTAAAATCTTATCGGAGGGCTGAGGGGAGAGATAGCACCGTAAAAAAGACAATCGGTTGTATAGAAGAAAGGGACAATAAAAATAATGATAATGATAACATTGAACTGAGTTGAAAATCTAAAAAAATTATCTAAAAAGAAATCTTATTCAATCTTATATAATCAATTAAACAACGAATTATTGTTATACATCACCTAAAAATTTTATGTTTCGTGAGGCACAATTTATTTCTTTAGGGTAATAAAAATAAAAATAAAAATCACAATAACAATAATAATAATAATAACAATAATGTTCTCATGCAAATATTACTACAGGTATAGAAATACACTTTTACCAAGAGTTTTTTAGAACTCACGAAATATCTTCTAAACTATAAACGGCGTTGAAAAAAAAAACGGCGAAGAATCGTGAGCTTCTTCAACGAAAAAAGAAATACTGATAAGACATGAGCCATAGCCCCAACTTTTCAATAGCCTCGAATATCAGAATTCGATAAAAATCTTCGACTCTGTTCGCAATTTCTT